GCCTATTACAAAATGTCCAGTGGTGAATGTGCCTAACCAGCTCCCAGCAGTGTTTGAAGCGTGTCAGCCAAATTTCGGTAACAGCCCAGACGACCGCCAGGTCTCAGAAGCCAGCTCACGTGTCACGCAGCTCAAAACCACTATGGGAACACCGTCAATCAACGTCGTAATTTGTGCCAAGGAGCGGATATCCGGCGTCAGAGGCGCCACCTCACCCAATCGCCGTCAGTCAGACTCGGCCGGCGCTGTCGAAAACCGCCTCATAAAAACTGCTGGCTTCGATTGTGAGACAGCATCATCCACGCTATGCGCTTCTTGTGTTGTTCGACCAAGACATGTTGCTAGCTACATTCTACAAAAGGCTCCACGGTTATCGGACGACACTAGCAGGGCGACTCGCGTCTGTGCGATATCATACCCTGTTCGGACCAGTGCAGAACGCAGCTGGAGGTGCCCCGTTCGACCCCTGCCCCTCGGTGGGGCGCCGGTCACACACCCCGTAGCGGGCGACGCTCCCTCGCAGACAGCGCGGACACAAATTACCCGCCGACAGCACCCGATGAGAGCCGTGTTTCTCCGAGCAGTATTTCGGAGACGTTTTTCTGCCGGCGAGCGAGAGAGAACTCAGCTGTGTATGACGGCACCATGTCTCAAACGAGAGTTTTTATCGGCGACGGCAAACCAGGGGGCACTGAGGAGTCTCGTCACGGGTTCTGGAGCCGTGGTTTGAACAGAGCTCCAGGGTGACAACTGACAATACGAACAACACTGTGAGTCCAGGGAATGGTTGACGGCCTTTGCAGTTTGCATGAAGGGAAATGACCGTTTAATTAGCCCTGCCGCGCTAAAATCCTGACTGAGTTTTTCTTTGCCAAATGGTGCCGCTGGCTTTACGATGGCTCTGTAATAGTGTAAGAGCCCAATGTGTGTGGAAAGAGTCGCCTGATGTGCAATACAATGAGCCAATGACATTCCTAACAGGAGTCACAATGAGCCAATGACGATCCACACAGGAACCACATTTAAACGGTGTAAAGGGCCGAATAGTGAGTTATGGCGGGGCTCTAACAGCTCTGATGAGTCACAGTGAGCCAATAGATGTCTAAAACATGAGTCACGGTTAATGGACCAGTGAAAGTGACATGATTCCCAGTAGGTTTACAAGCAGGTAACATCACTTAGCACGGTCATTTGTGCGGGTGTATAATTTCCGGTTAGACCAATGCGTGCAACACTACGCATTCCGAGGTCAGCTAACATAAAACAGCGACTCTGAGGGTGCCTTTCAAACCGGAATACAGCTGCTTTGCTGTGGGAGGAGCGCGTATACAGACGCACGGCGTGCCGCAATAGCGAGATACCATCGATCTCCTAAAAGCAAAATCATGTTCACATCTGACGATCAGCTGGAGGGAATCGCGTGGCTTGTCGAGAGCTGCAATATCATTTTTCTGGTAGGTATGATATGACCGACCCTGAGTCATTCCGCGAGCTCGTATTATTTGGCAGAAACAGGACACTGAATTCCAGACATCGAGTACAACACTCCCACCTAACTGCACTGTGATTTGTCTCACCGTGAATCGTGACATTGGTCTTTGAGCTATGGATCGATTTCCCAGAATGAAACTGTTGGCAAAGACGATTATTGATGTCGACAGGCCTCGGGGACCCCTAACTAGTTGGACGAACGGCTGGTAGGGAGGCTATCGTTTCCACAACCACAAGTACGAGTCAATAATTAGTGGTATGTTATGTAAGGCCCATTGCCATTGCTTAGCAGAAATAAGGTAATATTCAGGAGCGACGAAAAACTAAAAGCGCCGCCGCGTGATCCTTATGAGCTGTGATTAACCCGCGCCGGGCCGGGGGGGTGTTTGAACACCCCCTTGCGGTTTTTCGCAGATATCTCAAAAACGGCGGCGCGGAGCGCCGCCGTTTTTGGCACACCTGTTCGTGCATCTTTTCCGCACATGTTGTGAAAATTTCAGACCCAGGTCACCTTAGGTCAGGTCACCAGGTCACGCCAAGTGACCTCACCTCAGAAAAAATAAGAATGCTCGTCATAGCTACACCGACTGAACGATTGCCTTGAAACTTTCAGCGATTGATTAGAGCAACACTATCTATAAAATGTATATCTCGGAATTTTGATATCGGTGACCTAAGGTCAGGTCAATTTTGCGGCCTCTCCATTATAAGTCAATGGGAGAAAATTGAAAAGCGTCTGTTTTGCACGAACGCTATTCTAGACACTCTCAAACATCGAGATGTAGGTAGGTAAAATAGACACACTGAACCAGAAAATGGCAACTGTGACCCCTCGTTATGTCCCCGAGGTCATCTCAGGTCACGAACAGTATCTAACAGTTTTTCGATGATAACTTCTGATAGAGGAGTGCTAGAGCGCTGAAAACGCCTTAGATGTGTTCGGCTCGACGTTGCGGATCGACTGATATCCAACATGACCATTTCCGGTCAGGTCATGACCTTGACCTGAGGTCAAATTTTCAAGTTGACCTTTCAAGGTCAACTTATAGTTCAATCGACGCGTCTCGACGAGAGGAACACGATGCTGGCAAAAGTAATGTCATAGCTCTTAAAAGTTATTGCCGAAAAAACGTTTTTCGTAAAAACAGCTATTTTTGGAGTTTTTTCCCTCTGGAGGCTAAACTGTTGACCTGAGGTCAAATCTGAGAACATTACTCAGAAAGGTCTGTACAAGGGCTATCGAATGCGTTTTTTTTTTTGCGGCGCTGTAGCTCTATCGGTTCCCGAGATAGCCGTTGGCAGTTTCCAAAATGTTGAAATAGTCAACATTTTACCTTTGGTGACCTCTGGTGACCTGACCTTTGACCTGACCCAAAAAATGACCGAAGTGTTATCGTCCTTATTTTTGACGTTCTTTCGATTGCCGCTTACCGTGTGTCGCTACGTGGCCCAGGAGCCGAGTTAGAAGGGGGATGTTCAAACACCCCCCCGCGGCCCGGCACGGAATCTCAGAGCACCGGCCCGGCGCGGGTTAATCCAGAGGTTTAGTACGGGAGAAACGTTCTCAGAGCCCACGAGAGCGAACCAACCGCCTCTAAGAGGACGCTTATCGCCTTACCAGAAACAGAGGACACCTCTAGAATGTCGATAACCTTATCATTCCGCGTCACAGGCTCCAATAAAGAATTACAAGAATTACCGTCTACACAGATTGCCATGCTTGTAATCCGCACGCAACACGCTTATACGGTGATATCGGCACAAATATAAACTCAACAAGTGGCCTATGTAATTCCCCATGATGTATCCACGTTTCATATAGGCTTAGCATAATTACCAGCACACATGAATGGTAACATGCTCAAACATAACAATTTACGTCAGGGACCCCCCCCCCCCCCCCCCCGGGGCCGGGACCAGCTACCACCGGCTACCACGGAACTCTGGATGACAGGCGCAAAACGCACCACCAGACGGTACTCCTCCTGCCATCTGTCGACCACAGAGCGCACTACTGTCTTCGGAGGAGGCGGTCTTTCACCCTCGGGCAGCTCCCGAGTCCCATGCTGAGCCGCTCAGGGGGCCATGGGGATGGGCGAGCGGAGGAAGGATGATACAAGTTTGAAACGACCAAGACAACAGAGCACACTGCAATGGGAGTGGATGCTAGCTTTAACGTTAGGTCGCTCCCTTGTGAGGAGCAGTAGACTTCACTGCACACTTACAGACTGCTGTAAGGAGTTCGAGCTATTCTCATGGCAGGCTCCTCCCTTGTAGTTGTGGTGAACGAAGGTCTTCCCTGCACGGCTGGGCCGCAGTAACTGGAAGCAGAGTTGTATCAACAGGATGTTCCACTGCGAGGAATGATGAGCTGCTCTCGAGGATCGGAGGACTACCTTCCTATCAGGCCGAGCTGTTTCACTGTGGGTAAGGAAGGGTTGTCAAGCCAGGCTTTCCTGATGTAAGGAGGAAGGATTGACCCATGGGCGGGCGCCCTTCTCCTGGATCGAGGCAAGGCATGACTGCTCTACTGTGGTTGTGAGCGAGGAGCAGAGGGTCTTCCCTGTGAGGAGCGAATGACTCATCCACACCGAGGAATGGAGGCTGCTCTGCTGCACGCTGTGCAGCAGCTGCACCACTCTGATGTAGAAACCGTTGCCCCACTCTCCCATGACTGCCGAGAGTAAAAGACCGCTCTCCTGTAAGAGACCCGGGCGGCTGGGAGCGATGGATTAGCCGGCGACTGGTGGTCACAATGGAGCCCGCCGTCGATCCATCAGTAGCGCCGCGGCGCGTGCAGCGCCCCGGAGACGATAGTGACGCACCGGGCGCCACAAAGGCCGCCGGCCGGCCCGGAGAGACGGCGCCACATTCATCGTGCGCCATTAATCGCCGCCGCCGGGCCGCTCACCAGCCAATATGTTTTAGTCATTTACCGCTGAGTAATTTTGTTTCCGTTGCACGTTTTCGGCCGGGGGTTATTGATGGAGTCTTTCCGCCGGCGGAGCTAAGCGGGCCGGGCCCAGCGGAAATATGGCGGCGACGCTGGCAGAGACAGCGGGGAAAATTGGACGGCCCAGGCCGACCGGGCCGATTGATGAGCTACCGCTGCTCAGCCCGAGCCCGGCCGACCACCGCACACATACACACACCACGTGGCCGGGCGATTGATGAGCAGAGAGCCAGGAACCGGGCAACGACAATCGCCGGCACAGATTGATAGAAATTAATGAACGTGTGCTGATATCGTAGTGCCTGTTTTTCCAGGGAAAACATTTGGGCCGCGGCACCTCATTTAGGTGAAACAGTAAAAAACCCTGAATGGAAAGGAATCGCGTACGAGCAATGGAAGACCCGACGAAGCTTGTGTGCAAGCGTTGCTCGTTGTGACGCTTGTTCTCTTGTTTGTGACATTGCCCATTGCTATTATGTGAAAACTGGAAGCTGACAAATACACCGAAGTAACAACTAGCCGCCTAGTGTCACAATTCCAGGGCAAAACGCGCGTCAATCATTCGTACGTCATTATTGTGATGTCATCATTCCACTAACAAAATGCATATCATTCATTTCACAGATCACAATTGCCCCCGGACTGTCCGGGACTGGGTCTCCGACGGCGGCAGAGCCAGGCATGGTGGCGAGTCTACGGCCGCGGGACGCCCACCACCCGCCCCAGGGGCGAGCAGAGCAGCCAGCGGGGCACACGAGTGTCGGCGTCGGGTACTTCGGTGACATTAGCGACGCGGGACGCTCTCACCTTCCAGAGACGAGGAGGGCAGTCTGCGTGATACTTCAGTCAGGCCAGTCGCACGGCGCACGGCAGCTCCTGACTAAACGCACCACCTCCGACAGGCACAACCAGCACTGACAGCCCGACGGGCCGGGCCCACAGAATGTGGCAGTCCCGCCGTAGATTCCCATACCAGGCTACCAAACAGCACCCCTCTCTGCCTCACCCGTGCTCCCGTCGCTTGCGCTTTTCCTCCGAGTGTTCCGAGTCCCGTTCGGAGGCGGCGCCGTCACCACTGGGCGCTGTAGTGTCTCCACTGCTGGACGCTGTGCTTTCCCCGCTGGTACTATTCTCACTGTTAGCTGCGGCACCGCTCGACTCAGCTGCGCCACTGCCCGACTCAGCTGCGCCACTCCCCGTCTCTTCTCCGGGCGCCGGCGGTGAGAGAGCCGCCCGGATCCTCTCCAGCAGACCGCCCAGCTCGTCCGTCGATACACGGGCTCCTGCAACAGGCACAGACACAGTAAATAAGGATAGCAGCCCAGCCCAGCAGACCGCCCACTTTCCAGCTCGTCCGTCGATACCCGGGCACCTGTAACAGGCACAGAGACACCGGATTAGGAGGCAACTAAACAGACTCGGGCGCTCGGCATCTGGCACCATAACACAGGTATGTATCATTGAACGAGAGATACCCGCTCCGCTAAATGCATCCGGAAGCATCATGATATGCTCACGTTGTTTGTTACTACTTTGTCAGCTATGAGTTTTTTTCTGTGTACTTCCTAAAAACGAAAAAGTTTCTAACAAACAAGCACACTGCTGAATATCAAATATGCTAAAATGATACAAAATAGACCCGTGTAGATGTGATGAAATACAGATGATAAAATGAGAGGTGTGGTGAAAATATAATGGTTATCAGGGGAGGAAAAACAATCCAGCAATGCAGTACCAATTCAAAGACCTGCAACCTACGCACCGCATAGATCTCGATTTGAAAAGCTAATGAAAATTACAATGTTGGGTAAATTGTTCCGCAGCTTGTTAGCAGTTTGCTATGCAACGGAGAGATAAGCACTCTAGCGGCATTTTATAAAGCTGCGCGCGGTGAACAGGGAAAGACGGCACGCCCACCCACCACAGAAAAGTAAACTCACTTAGCCGAATATTGCTTTCTTTATCCTAGAGAAGAGGCCTTCTTGGCTCTCTATTTCCTGTTTGGTCTGCTCCTCTGAACTTGCCAGCGGTTTGTCAGCCACATTGTCTGTGAACACGACGGGCAAATGATCGCTCCGGTCCGTCCCACAAGGCGGTAAAAGTGCACGAATTGAGACCGATCGCGCCTGATGATCGACCAATGGATCTTGGAACGGAGGCGGGTGAACAGATGACGATTTGGAGTTTTCACGGTGCCCGTGCTGCATTCGTGACAAAGGGCATTCGTGACGGACGGACGCTTAAACAGAGATGGACGCATGGGCGGAGAAACCGAAAAAACCGTTCACGACAAAAATATGAAAAATAGCATGATAAATTGTTTGGCGAAAAAGGTCGACCGAGCGCGGGAACCAAACTACCAAAAACGCTAGGCTGAAAGGTGAAAACAGATTGGCTCATCTACTTGGACGCTGGAAAGCCGAAGGCGTGAGGTAATAGGAAGGTGGAACGGGGGTGGGAGATGAGAATAAAGTAGAACTGAACGATGGAAAGTGGCTGACAAACACACCTGACAGCGGCCACAGACTACGGAGCTGCGTTTCTGACGAGGGCTTATAAATAAATATTCAAGGCTGAAGCAAATTGTTATCGTTAGTCGTTACCGTAGTCCCTAACTACGGCCACGACACCGTCTGACCGTCTTCTACGTTTCCGGAGAAGATCAAGACAAATTGTTACCGTAGCCACTGTAGCTGGTTTTTGATGGCCTTTTTTGTTTGTAATAATTACTAAGCCAATCTAGGATCGGCTTCTTGCAAATTAAGGAATGTGATAATCAAGTAAAATATTGATGTTTCAGTATAAGATTCTGACCCTCCATGACGCCACGTCACCGGTCACCCCAATGACTCGCCTCACCCTTCCCCACCCCCGCCAGTTGCAGTGGCACGGCGCGCCACCGCCATCCATGCCGCTACTTACTGTATCGTATCCGCTCCCTTAGGACTGTCCCTCATACATATTTACATGCCGATGCTACCAGTATTTCATGGTGACTGGGTTCCCTCTCCCTCCCCGCCTTGTCAAGGCCGTACGTACTACGTACCGTCCAGGTCCCTCCTACATTGGAAGAGTATACCCTCTAGCTGGTCCGCAAAGAAGTGCGTACTGCGTCAAGTATTTGGTACCCGAGACGCCGTCCACAAGACAGAGTCCACGGTACCAGTCTCATCTTCGCCTCACGTGCACAGCGGTGGGTATTGTCTTTGGAGCCGGCGACACCGTCTAGTGCACCCGTTCCCTTCGGCCAGTACCAGTGGTACATATCCTACGTTCTCCCTCTTTCTCCACCACTCAGCGCTACTATTACGCACCGTCCTGGGTACCCCTCACGCCGTCCAAAGTACCCTTCCCCTCTCTCACACGAGGAAACGGTTACGCCTTCCCGGCTAGTACGTACCATCCTTGGTGCCCGTGACGCCGTCCATAGTACCCGCCCTGCTCTCTCCTACCCAATACAGGCGTGCGTACAGTACGTACCATCCTTGGTGCCAGTGACGCCGTCCACTGTACCCGCTCCTCCCGACTCCATTTCGGCCAGTGCCTGGAACAGCGCCTTCCGTCGATCGTCCAGCTTATCGGGCACCTGAAAACACACCACAGGGGTTAGATGGGAACAACGAACAACTTCCCAAGAAACGACCGGTTCACACAGGGTGGGTAGTGGCAGCAGGGGACGGCCAAATAGGTTAGGAAAGGCCAGAAACTCAGTCCAGGGGCAGCTCAAAGTGATCCGACAATGCATAAACAAATCAGGCAAATAGACAAGCATGTAATGAAAATATGCCATGGTCAAATGTCTGGAGGAATAGCACGACCACGAACACAAACAGCACCCTGCCTGTCCATCCCGTCGCCGTTTCGATGCTCTCACCTTGATCTTGATGTGCACGTAGTGGTCGCCGTAGCCGTGCGAGTTGACCCGGCGGATTCCCTTCCCGTTGAGCCGGATACGCGTGTGAGACGATGTGCCCGGCGGTATCCGAACAGTCAAGTCCTCGTAGATGCCCTGTGGGACGGACCGTAACCGGTCACAGGCTGGGCTTCATGGGGGAGGGGAGGAGGGAATGGATTGGTGTCGCTTATTGCACACGCGACACTTTTCGTCAGCGCCACACGAAAAGGGTTTCGTCGATTTGCTCAAAGGACGGCCAAACAGACAATAGACCACCAGAGCCCAATGATAGGTTTGGTCACTCATCCTTGAGACAACGAGACAGCTGGTAAAGTCAGACACGCATGAGCCTAGCCCACCAGCTCTGGCCAGTTCACATTGTGTAAGTTTGCGTGATTGCGTATACTGACCTGCACCCTGAGAGCGCCGCCCAGGACTGCCTGCGTGAGGCCCACCCAGCAATCTGTGTGGACGTCGGCGCCGTCCCGTCGGAAGTAGTCCGAGCGGGACACGCGGAACGTGATGAACAGCTCCCGGCCGCCGACCTGCATACGCACCGTCTGGCCGTCCTCCACGCCTGGGGAACAGAGAACCAGCGTCAGTCTCCAACACAGAACTTATATCAGCCATCTTCTGACTGTCCTCCACGTCCGTGAGGAGAGGATAAAGTAACGTCAACTTTCCACAGTCCCCCGCACCCGTACAATGGGAAAATTCCAGGGCCGACGCCCGTATCCAGTCGCTCATTGACTGCTCGTCAGTAGCTAGCGCACCCATCCTACGCACAACTAAATGAAATACAATCACGTGAGCCAGACGATTCACTAGCAGCCAGATTCTTGGGACCACACCAGTCACACAAATTACTGAATTCAGTCAGAACTCAGACAGACCAAGCCGACCTTCGGATTACTCGCCTCTGTCATTCCGACTAAGATTGCTCAACTTGAATCACCTGGCTTCTGCGATGAAGTTGACAATATCACGACACCACGTCACCTACACAGTCAGTCAGCGCCGACCCAGCCCATCACGTCACCCACCTGCCGGCACCGGGACGCTGATGGTCTTGCGCTGCACGGTGCTGCCCTTGCCGTTACACTCGACACACTTGTGCGGGATGTACATCCGCGTGCCCTGGCACTGGCGACATGTGGAACGCATCACGAATGGACCTGAAAATGGAGCAAGAAATGTTAGCGATAATGAATCTGTGCAGGAGGACGTCGTAGTGGGATACGGTAATTGACGCGTCTCCATTACACAAGGAGAACCAGAATTCATGTTAGTACCCAGACTAAAAGCTTGTCGATTATTGTCATCATACCACTTTAAAGGTCATTTATCCGTTCTGAAATGCTGACTGAGGTTAATTTATTTGGATCTGAAAGCCCAATTTCATGACTCAGCATATGTTCTTATTTTTGCTACCGCACCACGTGACTTTATCACATCAGTACTGATCATTACAAAACTCTGCCATTCTAACCTGTGCTGATGGTTTCCATGCCGGTGCCGTGGCACTGCGGGCAGCGCACGGCCTTGGTGCCGGGAGCGGCGCGCGCTCCACCGCACACGGGACACGTATCCACCGTGTTGATGGTGATCTCCTTGTTGACGCCACGCGCCGCCTGCTGGAACGTCAGGTTCATGGCCACCTGCCGGCGACAGGACGTATCGTCAGCGGGGCGGCGGCAGAACGTACGGTATTTGGTCATCGCGATTACCTGTATTCACTGATGGAGATGTTGAGCAGTGAGCATCGCGTTGCTGGCTTAGACTACATAGTCTTGCAATACACCTACCTCTTGCGAGGCTCCGAACCCAAAGCGCGACTCCTCGAAGTTCTGGTCAAAGTCCCCGCCGAAGCCCCCGCCACCGCGCTGGCCGAAGTCGCCGAAAATCTTCCTGAAGAGCTCCTCGGGATCGACCTGGGAGTGGAAGTCCCACTGCTGACCACCGAAGCCACCGGCGCCTGGCAAACACAGAGCAAACATGGGTAAGTAAGGGTTGGCATTCATAAGCATGAAAGGTTCACGAACATCGACCAGAAACTGCCAACTAGCGATCTCTAGTACATATACCTACCGCAAAACGAAAGATCATTTTCATTATTGGTAAATCGGTAGCAGTGTTCCATTTTTCAGACTTTTTGGGGGCAAATCACACCTGATGGGGAAAATATTTTCATCCCTAAAATATGAATGACTGACTTTACTTCATCTCTCAAAAAAGGTTTCATGCATTCGAACAGCCAGTTTACATGTCACTTGACAGTTGATGCACCCACATCCTTTTGTTTCACACCCTGTCAAGATCCCGACATGAAATCCTGGTTTATCAGCAGTGTGACCAAATTGGTTTAGCGTTAGGGGGAGGATGTATAAAAAAGTCGTACGAGGATGTCACTATTTTCAAAAAACTCGTCTTCAGCCTCATTTTAGGTGCAGTTTTACAGACAATGTGGGAAAAAACTATACCTGACGTCAAGTTCTGGTGGAAAGTAAAAAAACAACAACAAATGTTGTCATTAAAGATGTAAAAAACGACATTGCAAGCGCGACAGTACGAGTATGATGGTGCGAATCGTACATTGGAACATTTTCAGTCTTTATTCCTACACTAGGTAGGTATGCTTTTACGACAAAAACGTCGTGATGATGTAATTTTAAAATTTCTGAGGATGTCATTATACTTTTCATTGGGGGTGACTTTCCCCGCAACATCACCAATTTGGCCATACTGTTTATCAGTAGGCATAAAAATTAGCATTACACCATTTTGCAAAAATACTTCAGTTATTTACTTTCTTTTTTCTCATCCTAGGGTTTTTTTTCTTCATCAGCACACCCAACCAAAATCCAATTTTAGAACACTGATCGGTAGCTACGCTCCAGAATTGCATGCGAGACCATTGCTGCCCACTCGGGGCCTCACCGGGGTGTCCGCGGCCGGCGTTGCCCATCTGCTCCCGTGTGGCGCCCCAGGCGTCATACTCGCGCTTCTTGGTGTCATCGCTGAGCACCTGTAAACAGAAGAGGTCGAAATTCGACGGTGTTTCTGGAAAATGTAACACGAAACAGTCTACAGCCCTACACTAGCCTCTCTACTATAGTCTGAATCTCTACACTCTATGGAGCACCAAGTAGGAAGCAATCAAGTCACAAGTGCACAGTGACTGTATGTAAGTACAACTTTAATAAGCTTTCTGAATAAAAACCCACCTCATATGCTTCAGAGAGCTCCTGGAATTTCTGGCTTGCTTTTGGGTCATCCTTGTTGGTGTCAGGGTGATATTTCTTGGCAAGCTGATAGTATGCTTTCTTGATATCCTTGGCGGATGCATTTTTGGATACTCCTAGTGTTTCATAGTAGTCCTTTTTCAGGTTTGACCATGATGGATGAAAGAGGCGAGCCTGTTGGAGGTGAATGCTGGGGAGACCTGCAATCAAATCAAACACTGTAAGATTACAGCCACAATGGGGGTTACAAGGGTGATCTTGTACTACACAAACTGATCAATCAAAACATTATCATCTTATCATAATGCAACAACAGGGTCATCATATAACATATTCTACATCAATTCTAGATTACCAGGATGATTGGATCTATTTAAACTTTATCACCTACTGCATAGCAAACATAGCATCTTAGGTCAATAGGTTATGTCTTTCTTAAGCCAAATTGACTTATTTCAAAAGATAAATAGGTATGTTCTATTCAAAGAAAAGTGAAATGATCTAATCTAACCTCATATTGACTTTCATACTAATGATCACACAAAATTTAATTTCAGCAAAGCTATTCAACTAAATCTATTTATATTTTAATGGTATGAAATATGAAATTTGATGACAAATTGAACAGCAAAAATTCCAAATGTGAAAACAATGAAATTCAAAACAGCTACATGTCAAAGCACAGTAGGTATTAGGTAAATTCAATTGCAGATATTTTGAAGCACTTAAGGCTTGACCTAAGTGACCTTCAAGAATATATACCAACTAGTAATATCTAAACACAGGCACATAACAATTTTATGGCAAATGTCAAAAGGACCATAACTATCATAGCATTTAATGGAGCCTATTGCTTTTGGGCACATCAACTGAAATATGCATTAAAAGCCAAGTAACAATAATCACCACGTCATGGGCATCAGCATGAAACTGAACGTAAAATTCAAGCATACAACTCCATAGTACCATTGAATTTGCAGTTACACTTCACTTTTACTTATCAAATATCAATTAACAAATTGTGGTTGATGACAAAGAATATTGATCAAAATCAACAACCAAAACACGTTCGGGGCAAATATTGCGCAGCAAAGACATTTAACATACTAACATTTTTCGACGACGCCCGCTAGCTGGAGCAACTTAGGTCGATGTGCTGTTTGCAAGATGTGAATACTTCTCCTGGCATTCAGTAAAGACTGAATAACCGGTCGCTGGCAGGCCCTTCCGCCGCCCAAACGGCCAGCAACCGCCATGCCTGGAGCCCAAGCACGAAATAGGTAGTTTTCAAGGAGCACCGAAATGATGCGTACTTGACAAAATCATGAAAGATTCAAAAGTAAAAATGACGTCATAGGAACCCGGACTTTAGAACAAAGATCGCTAGATTGCTCTTACGATCCCCACTATCATTGGCTTAACTTTAAATGACGTCATAAATGCCTATTCATATGTTTTCGTCAATTGGTCACAAAAGGGGCATGTTGTTAAAATTGGAATATTTTGAAGGTTATTGAAATAAAAAAGCAAAAGGTCTCAAATGAAGTTGCATCTTGGATTCAGCAATTAATGAGATAATTTTTTATTATTTTTAGAATGCAGTGACGGTAGCTTCGACCTATAGCCCTTATCACAGATAATCGCTGAGAGGAACAATTTGATTTGAATTGTTTGGATGCCAGGTCCTGCCTGGTGCCTGATTATTCCTTTTATTGCAATACAATGAATATTTTGATATGTTCATTGGTGGGAACACCACATTTTATCATTGGACTGGCGATTATGATTGGTTTAACTTTGTTAAGTATGTATCTGTTAAGGTATGTAAGTTAAGTTGTTTTTCAAGGGTAGTGGTAAGGTTTAATATGATTGAGTTTTCAAAGTTGACCTGACTAAAGAGCGCTGTTCGGCGGCTGGCTAGCACGCTAGTCTGCGCACACATACGTGCATGTTGCCCAGGGCAGGCAACAAGCTATTGACCAATGAGAAATGCGCTGCGGGTGGCACAGGTATATGAAAAATCGCAGTGACATTGGCATTGCACTTGCCTCGCTTCTCATTGGTCAATAGTCTGTTGCCGGGGCAACCAGCACGTATGTGAGCGCCGGCAAGAGTACTAGCGGGCCGCCGATCAGGGCCCTTGTCACAGATAAAACAATCTCAGATACCTACACAACTTGTGACCACTGATTGCCTAATGCAATACACTGCGTTTCCAGCTTGTATGATTGAGATGTCAAAGTTTTTATGGCATGGCTAATTAACTAAGCCCTGGTCACCTGACCTTCAATTCAATGACCTGGGGCCAATGTTTTTACTCAATACAATATTTATGCATGATAAGCTATGCTAAGTGTCAAGGTGGTGCACTGCGCTGTTTTATGTACTTACATGAAAAAACTGGAGTGTGGTGATATAGGTACTCTGTGCAGTGTGCTGTGCGATCTATTCTCAGCTGGCCATTCGGGTTTGCCCCATCTGCCTAATCATGTTTGGAAATACATCCCAGCATGTTCCCTGTCCACTGTCTGAGACTGTCAATTGTAATGTGTCCAGCAAGGTACACATTCTAACTGGTGCCATTGTCTATTCTTGCAATGTCTGCACCCAATGTCCTGGCCATCCTGACCAGTGACCTATATCCTGTCCATTTTGACCAGTTCTGACTAGTGACCACTGACCAGTGTCCTGTCATTTCTGATCAGTGACCTGTCCAATGTCCATTCTGACCAGTGTTCTGTGTCATGTCATTTCTGACCAGTGACCTGCCTGTTCTGACCTGTGTCCTGTCCATTCTGACCAGTCAGCTTTATCCTGTCAGTTCTGACCAGCAACCTGTCCAGTGCCCATTCCCACCTGTGTCTGGTCTATTCTGACCTATGTGCAATGTGCATTCTAGTCTAGTCTGTCCAGTGCCCATTCTCACCTGTGTCTGCTCTATTCTGACCTATGTGCATTCTAGTCTGGTCCATTCTGACCAGTGACCTGTGCCCTACGTCCTATTTTGGCCTGGTTTCCTTCCATTCTGATCTTTGTCATCCTGTTGTCCACCCTGACACCCACCGCTCTCCCAGCAGGGGTCAGACCATGTTCCCTCAGTCGGTGGTGTGGTGGGGCACACAGGACGCCGTCAGACTCCACCTCGAGCCACTGCACGTGCCCTTCTCACTGGACGTCCTCAGTGACGGTCCAACGACGCAGCCAGCGGACGGCACCGGTACGCGGGCTGGGACTTCGCCGGGTTGGTGGTTTGTAGTGGGACTTGGATTCCTCTGCGGGATGCTCGGTTAGGGAATGTGAATTGTGAGGGATGGTTTAAAAATGGGACCGGTTGAGTTGTCCTCCCATTATGTCAAGGAAATGTGTTCTCCATGATGCAAGCAATCAGTACCTACCTTTTTATAAGTTTTGCTTGAATCAAGTTTTTCCTACTCTGTCCTTATTGTGGTCCCTACCCGACCTTTATGCGATGTGTGTCCCGGCAGCGGCACGCCCACCCTCGGTCCGCTGCGTGCTGAAGACGGAGAAGCCGTGCCGACTCCGACTGCTGTGGCGGGTGCCGTTCTCGGCCCTCAGTCACCTCCTGAACAGGATCACCGCCGGGGACGCCCTGCTGTACGGCTGCCAGACGACCAGGTACGATATATGTATTCTGAGGACTGTTCACGGGAAACGCAAACTGCTGAGTGCGGTGTATGCAGCAGGCGTGGGGTGGGGGATGGGTAGTAGGTATGACGTCACACGGCTGTGTGCGGTTGACGGTCCTTGTGGCCGGTCCCGACCGACCACAGCGGTCGCTGTGTGTGGTACCTGTCCACCGACTGGAGGATGACGTAGGGAGGCAGTGGGCGAAGCTTAAAGCCTGTGTGCGGTCCTATCGCACACAGAGCCCGACGTGAACAGCCCTCGGGTAACTTCCCTATTTCACGGCGGCTGAGCACCCAGGCGTAGCTGGGCACCGTCCTTTCACAATACATAGCCCGCTAGACTCTAATGAAGACTGTAATACACATTACACAAGATGAACTCAGTCATATTTCCCCATTACACGGCCCAGCTGGTCTTTTAGCTAAGCATCACGCTATTGCATGATAAACGAAAGAAGTGAACAGTAGTCGACTGAACCAGAAGTAACCCCCTCCCCCCCCGTTAGATGATGAGATATTGACACACGACATCCGTCCGCTCTTTCGCAGCTATGAGGCCGGGGAGCACACTGTAGAGGCCACTGGCGGTGGACCTGAGACACCGCAGCCCCCACAGAGTGAACCAAGAGAGGGCGAATCGGTGACGGCACAGAGCGACCCTCAGAAGGACGGGTCTGCACCACGGAGCAGCGGTAGCAGGGCGGCGTCCGATCCACAAAGAAGTCACTACCCTCTGGTGGCGATGATAGAAACTACAGCTACACCAGAGAGCCCCAGTTCTGTGGTAAGTGCGGTTGACATTGCGGGAATTTAATCAGTTTAAACACGGCGTCCAGCTGGTCAATAATTGCTGGTCCAGCTGGTCAGTAGTTGTTTGGCCACCACGAACCGGAATAATACGAAACGAACCTGCCACGGTTTAGCCAATTTGGTAGGTGGCCGATGGAAGACAGAAGCTGTGTAGTTAGTCATGTTCTTAATTTCATTTAAAGGAAACATCACAGCTGATAACCACCTCAAATGTATGCTCGATTGCCTGTTGTCATGGGCGTATGCCGGTTTCCTGGTTCGGTGCGCTGCAGCGCTATTACTCGGCGTTCTGTGAAACTCTGTTTCCCTGGTGACCGACAGGTGGCTCTGGTGGCCGTAATTCACATAAGGGACCGTGTTGTGTCGATGGGGACATCTGTACTCCACCGGTATGTCCGGCAGGCAGACGGACGCGTTACTCTTCTTCAGGTGAGCGCGTTGCCTAAACAGAAGTGGATAACGTATGTTTGGTAACAATTTATGGAGTGATGACTTCTAAGCAGGCCTGCGGAGTCGATTGATTTTCGGTGACTCCGGTTCCGGATTTTGACTCCGGTTTTCAAAAACCAATTCCGACTCCGGGCAGAATTGTCGACTCCGACCGCCTCCGATTCCGACTCTGCAGACCTGGCAGGGCTACGGAGTGGATGGATTTTCGGCGACTCCGACTCCGAATCCGGCTCCGGTTTCCAAAATCGACTCCGACTCCAATTCCGGTCGCAATTGTGTACTCCTACCGACTCCGACTCCCACTCCGACTCCGCAGCCCTACTTCTAAGGCCTGCTAGATGCCTTGAAACTTGTTATCGGTGGTTCCTGAGCACTCTGTGATCACTTTTCGGTCGACCGTTTAAGTTCGTATCAATTATTTGCCACTTTTGTTGGTGATTTTTGCTTTCTTTAGTGTCTAAGCAAAACGAGTTTAGTCACAAGTGAGTTTAACGCGTCATCAGCCTGGTGCGAATGCAACGTGCGTCATCACCTGGTTGCATTCTCTGCCATCTCTCACCTTTCGTTTGTCCCTTCCGGCAGCCGCTGTACTCGTCTGGCGTCGAGAACCCCCCGGAGGACCGCGGCCCCGCCTCTCCGTCCGGCCGACCGCAGAGCCCGCCCGGCGCGCTGGGTGTCTGCTGCGTGTGTCGCTCCGAGCCGGCTGAGGTGGTGCTCCTGCCCTGTCGACACGGCTGTGTGTGCAAGGATTGTTTCCGACGCACGGAGACCTGTCCGTTGTGCCGGGGACGGGTGGCGCAGTACTTCACCGTGCCCACGGTGGGCCAGGAAGGGGAGAGGGGGCGTCTGGTAGAGGAGAGAGGAGGCCCGGTGGAGGAGCGAGGACGCTCAGCGGACCCAGTGGACGCGCAGTGAGTGCCCGGGCTCGGATTCCGAATATGTTTGGAGATATTGAGTAGCTGAGCCGAGCTAAGAAGCTTTACGATGATGCTATGAGTGTTGAAGACCCATAGGACGGCAACGAGTTCAACGTCCGTCCTGCCTCACCCCTCGGAGGGTGATCATGGCTGGTTCTAGCCACTACAAAGCCCTAATTCTTGCTCTAGTTGTGAGAGTGATAGAGTGATAGCCGAGCCTGGGGCCATCGATACCCCACCGTTTGACGGGTGTATTTCCTGTGATGATAATATTGTGTTGTGATGCTGATAGTTCGTCTGGTGATTGCATTCCTTGTCGCTGGCTTCACATTTAGTGATCGCCTTTTGTCATGTCCCGTGGTCATTTTGTGGCTTTATGATGAGTACCTGACGGATCCTAATTGGTCTTTGGCTTCGAGCTTGTGATGATGTGAATCGATCGTTAAAGCGGCTGATATTCAAGTCTTGCTTTGTGTCATCTGATATCGTATATGGATATCTTTCCACGGATAGTGACCGATAGGCGATAAGTGATAATATCTGTCGACGATCGGCTAACAGACATGTTGATGCGTAAATTGTTAGACATGGGTGGGTAAATGGATAGCATGCGTAAACTAAAAGCATTTATGAATTGTTATGTGATTCGTCGCAATATAATGGTGTAATTCCGTGACCTCTAGTTTTTCATGCTACCCAGTCTGTCCAATGTCCGAGCGAGAGATACTTAAGAAGCGCGCATGTTATGGCCAGGCTCGCTCGTGGCAGTAGCTTGAGAAAGTGTTTGACCTTTCTTTCGTGACTGATATGTCGTAATTGTGGAGCGGGTCCGTCTGTATTTGATCTGTTATCGTGTTCATCTCTTTCCGAATATTCGAACGTTTTTTTTTCAACTATTGAATTGAGACCTTCACACTGTTACGGCTTAGTTAGCACTGCCATAAGCGCCATGAGAGGCGATTTTGCGGAAACAGGTTTGTAACTAACATACGCTACCATGACCCGACTGCAACACCACGCACTGTGTGCGCGCCTGCACATGTTTAATGTTTACGCTGCGAGCAGTCAGCTGTCAGGTGGCGAGCCCCTCCGAGCCAGCTGACTGCCGTGGCGAGCCCTCTGCTGCCGGGCCAGCTCACCCGCTTCGCCTCCGGACGCCGGCTGTGGTAGTGACCTTGAGCGAGACATGAACCACACTGGGCGACGGGACGGGGCCCACACTAGCGCCCTGCGCTCCGCTGGCGTGCCGAGTGCGTCCGTCCTCGTCCGTCTCGCCGCGGCGACGTCAGAGCTCCCGTGTCCTCTGGCCACCGCTGCTATACCAATCTTGTCCGCCTCTCGTCTCCGCTCTATCGGTCCTTTACATTTCCTGTACTGAGTAACGCTCTCCATTATAGCCTCCACCGAGCTCTACCCTCCACTCACCGGTGTTCCCGTCTTCATAACACCATGGAGCAGTGTTTTCTAGGAGACCGGGTGCTACTGGAGGATGATTACCTCGGACCGGCCACCCTGTGTGTCGACGGAGACGGTGTTATCACCAGCGTGACCCGGGGTCGGGTCACTCCGCCGGAGGGTGCTAAGGTGAGTTACTTGGGGAGGTCACCGCCGGCGTGACCCGGGGTCGGGTCACACCCCCGGAGGGTACTAAGGTGAGTTACTTGGGGGAGGTCACCGCTGGCGTGACCTGGGGTTGGGTCAAGGATGCCAGTCGGTTGTGGGGGGAGGGGGGGGGGAGCATCACGGCGTTCCGTTCAGATGTGCCAGCCGTCGGTGACGACTGACGAGCCCCAGCAGATGGGCGGACCAGGCCAGACAGTGGGCCATGTGTGACTGAGTCCCGGCCACCAGCCGTTAAACCCGTTCACCCGTGAAATAGTTGAAACCAATATACCGTACCGATGCTTTCCGTGCTTTGAGTCTCGGCTACCCGTAGTTGCATAACCTATCTCTCATTCGTGTCTCTGCTACTAAATGTAGGTATATAGTGACAGGTACTGGGTCAAAGCTGTTCCTGACTCGAGTCCCACCCTTCGGACTAACTAACCCGTACCCCGGCGCTCACCAACCTCCCCTGTCCTCCATGCCGCCGTCCCCAGGTGACCGACTTCGGCCCCCTGCTGGTGATGCCCGGCCTGGTCGACAGCCACGTGCACGTCAATGAGCCCGGACGGACCGCCTGGGAGGGGTTCGATAGCGCCACGCGCGCCGCCGCCGCCGGAGGCATCACCACCATCGTCGACATGCCGCTGTGAGAAGTCACGACCGACGCGGTGATCGCATCCTTCCAACGACATAAATTTACCGTAACGTAAATTTACTATAGTGAATGAGTGATCAAAGTTAAACGATCGATGCCTTATAATCAGTAGAAAGAACGCAAGTTGTTTCAGGAAAAACGAACCTTGTATTTTCATTTTTTTCTGCTTAGCAGCTGGCCTGTCATCACCATTTCATATAAGAAGTTTGTTTCTTTCGCTGATTTTTTATGCGTCTCTCAACATATTCGTAGATTATATGTAGGTAATACCCGGTTCAACAGTATCATGCAGGTGTCTCTCTGACCCCCTTCCTCTCCGACAGGAACTCGATCCCGCCGACCACCACGCCGGCCAACCTGGAGGCCAAGCTGGCGGCCGCCGCCGGCCAGTGCCACGTGGATGTGGCCTTCTGGGGCGGCGTGGTGCCCGACAACTCGACCTGCCTGCGGCCGCTGCTGGCCGCCGGCCTGCCCGGCTTCAAGTGTTTCCTGATCCACAGCGGTGTGGACGAGTTCCCGCACGTGACGGCCGACCAGGTGGAGACGGCGCTACAGCAGCTGCAGGGCACCGGAGCCGTCTTACTGGTGAGGGGGGTGACCTCATAGGCGGCGGAACGGGGGGGGGGCACCGGGGCACCGTGCCCCCCTTGAATTCTGCAAGGGGGGCACCAATAGCAAGGTGCCCCCCTTAAATTTGATGTAATAGTATCAGGAGCGGATTCGGGAAAACTCCAAGGGGAGGGTCATGAATCGAAGTGGTGCCCCTACCTATACCCAAAATTAAAACCTCAACGGATTTCGGCCACTTAATTTTGGTGGTGCCCTATTTTCAGTTTTCTATTTTCTTTATTTTTGGTTAGTCGTGTGATGACTGGTGCCCCTGCTAGGCCGCTGGTGCCCCTGGAAAGACTGTGGTACCTACCTACCCTGCCCCCTGACAAGCCCACGGTGGGCCCTGCACATGACTTAGGTGCCCATGGGCCCTGACAGGCCCGTGGTGCCCCTGACAGGCCTGTGGTGTCCTTGCTAGGCCTGTGGTGTCCCTGGGCCTTGGCAGGTCTGTGGTGCCCCTGGCGAGCCTGTGGTGCCCCTGTTAGAACGCAGGTGCCCTTGACAGGTTTGTGGTGCCCCTGACAATCCTAAAGTGCCAACGACAGGCTTGTGGTGCCCTTGATAGGCCCATGGTGCCCTTGCGAGGCTGGTGGTTCCACTGCGAAGCCGATAGTACCCCTGGCAGGCCTCCGGTGCCCCTGGCAGGTCTGTGGTGCCCCTGGAAGACCTGTAGTGCTTTTGCTAGGCCGATGGTGCTCCTGACAGGCCTGTGGTGCCACTGACAGGCCCGTGGTGCCCCTGCTAGGCCTGTGGTACCCCTGTCGGCTGTCAGGCCTGTGGTGCTCCTGGCAGGCATGTGGTGACCCCAGGCCCAAAGTCATGACCCATGTGACCTCCCCCCTGGGATTCGCCACTGATAAGTACTGCGATGGCTTCTTGGTAATTTGATACATGTAGGATTAACCCTCGCCAGGCGAGGGCCTTTTCCATAACACGGACGGCGAGGGGGGGGGGGTTGGTACGACCCCCCCTCGCGATTGGCTCCTATGGCACTTAGAAACGACAAATTTACAGGGTAGGTGGGTCCATGGGAGATCTCGCCCCTGTGAAAGTTTAGTGACTCTAAGTCAATATTTAGGGGGGTTTTGGGGGTATGAATGCAAAAATTTTGCTTAAACATGTTAAAAGTCTTTCGCTTATAACTTTTTACCTAGCAAAGATAGAGCAAAAATAAAAGCACCAGTGAACGCAGGACGTCAGTGCGCATCGAATGGTATACTTTGTTACCAATTTTAGTGAACTTTGGAATTCAGTTGCCGCTAAGCTAGTCCAATTTCCCCCTGACCTTGTACCGGTTTTTGTGACCTGGTGACCTGACCTGAAAAGACTGGGACTTCAAATTTTCAGGAAAGGTGCGAAAATGTTGCCCCAGAGGGTATGCCAAATTTGGCGGCGCTACGCGCCGCCGTTTTTACGTTATTTGCGATAAACCTTAGGGGGGGGGGGGGTTGCATCAACCCCCCTCGTCGGGCGAGGGTTAATGGAATTTGTCAAACGAGAATAAGGAAGAGACAAACACATAGGTACTTGAGGATCAGCTTAAAGTTAACCACACATACGGGAGTGTTCTGCCATTTTCGTTTAGTAAAAAAAAAAAATAGAAAAATAAAAAATCATCGTGTCAGGGCTGTGACGAAAAATAAGTGGCCTAAATCCGATGAGAAAACAGGATTTGGGGGTACCCTAGGTTTGGCTCCTTGAGCTGGTGCCCCCCCTTGTCTCAAATCGTTCCGCCGCCTATGGGTGACCTGCTGGTGGGTGAGGAGCTGACGGAGCCGTGGTCGAGAGCTGAGGAGGAGGGGAAGGTGAGAGTGAGACACCTTTCTGGCGAGAAGAGAATACGTCTTTTGGCGTGTACATATTAGGGGTAGGGGCCATATGTTTTGGACGGGTAGAGACTGACGGGCAGCGAAAACGTCCTCATACATGTAGTGGATATGGGAGTTCAGCTGTTGTGATTGACTGGCGATTATCAGTCTTGCTATTCGAATGGAGGCCGTTTTAATGGCTGGTGTTTCATGTTACTATTGTAGGACCGGGAGCCGTGTCTACCGTACCATCATACCTAGATGAGACACTGGTTACATGCACTGATGTGTTCCTCTAACCTTTTTGTGCACCAGTTCCACGCGGAGGTAGACGTCGGGGCCAGTCCCCCTGGCGGTGACCCGCGGCACTACTCCACCTTCCTGGCGTCACGGCCCAGGAAAATGGAAAACGAGGCCATCAAAATCGTCATCGAGAAATGCCAAAAATACGGGTCAGTGAAGTTGGACTTCGTATTGGTGACAACCCAAGGAAACTGCGAAATGGATGGCTGAGCGATATTTATTTACGTTAGTTTGCTCTTTCAAAAGCCTAAATATAGACATGTTACGCTAATGAAGATTGTCAATAAGTTGGAAGAAGATTTAACAACATTTTATGACTGGTATCATAACTCGATTGATATTTAAATGCTGGCTGATCGCAGGTTATTCAAATTGGTTGGTGCCGGCTATCTTCCACGATTTTAAGAGATCGAAATATGCATTTATAACGCACTTCTGTCGTTTCCCAATGAAGCCTTCCTTCTGTTCCATATTCCAAATCACTGCGACTTGGTATAATTAAAAAAGTATACCTCTGTAAGTCTGTATTGACCAGAACGACCTCTTTCCGGCAACAGGGTCCGATGTCACATCGTCCACCTCTCGTCCTCGGACGCTCTCGACATGATCCGCGAGTGTACGCGGCATCTGCGATGCCGGGCTCCGCATCGCGGGACCGCAGGTTGTTTGAGCAAGCACCTTTGTAAACAAAACGCAAAACCGCAAAACTCGCAAAACGCACGTTCAAAACGCCAACGCAAAAGCCGCAAAAAAAAAACAATCGCCCGCAGGCACAAAACCGCAGAAAAAAAACGCAAAAAAGCCGCAAAAACGCCCGTCCGCCGCAAAACGCAAACACCGCAAAAAACGCAAATACCACCGCCACAAAAAAATCGCCCGCATCGCCCGCCGCCAAAGGCAAAACGTCGCAAAACGCGGCCGCCCGCCTAAAACCGCAACACCGCAAATAACGCCCGGCCGCCGGCGACCGCAAAACCCCGCAAAAAACGGCCGCCCGCCGCAAACTACAAAACGCCGCAAAAAACGGCCGCCCGCCGCAAACCGCCGCTAAAACGGCCGCCCGCCGCCAAACGCAAACACCGCAAAACACCCGCATCGCCCGTCCGCCCGCCGCCAAACACAAAAAACGCAAAACACGCAAACACCGCCGCAAAAAACGCCCGCAACGCACGCCCGCCCGCCGCCAACCGCAAAACGCCGCAAAAAACGGCCGCCCGCCGCCAAACAAAAACACCGCAAAAAACGCAAAAACGGCCGCCCGCCGCGAAACGCAAACACCGAAAAAACGCAAACACCGCCGCAAAAACGCCCGCCGTAGGCAAAACGCAAACACTGACGCATTAAGACAAATATGGCGCCCTGCGGCAAATGTGGTGCATTCATATCTACCGTTTAAAGGTAGTGTGCCACCTTTGAAAGATTTCCCATTTTATTTTTCCTAGGATAAGAAGCTTCTGTTTTTACCTAATATCGCAAAAAAAAATCAAAAATGGGCCTGGAATAGTGCCTTTTTCGCCTAAAAGTTTATCGGTTTTTCGATATGTAAAACAACTGTAGTGGGCTGACCTGCAAACAGGCGTCGGCAACAATCGCGAATGCGGCGCATATGTGACAATAAGCAAAGGTCTTTATAGAGCTACGACGTACGGGAATGAGTTATCAGCTGTCTAATCGTAGACAACACAATGTCGAGCCTTAAACTGTAAGCCTGTATTGGTATTGTTTCTTTTATTTGGCTGTCGAACATTATTTATGGTTTGAAATATGATTTTATGTAAAATAATTGATATGAAAAAGCCGTCTCTTAAGTTATGACCCGATTTCACCACACGCAAGTGGCAGAAATGACAATGATCAGCTGACGCATTTTTCTTGGCCGAAGTCAGAGCGCGCAGCCCGACGCACCACCACCGCACCACAAAGTATGAGCAGAAGCCGCGCCCAAAGCCAGGGCCCCGGTAACGTGAGGTAGCCGAGTCGGGGCAGCGTGCGCTGACCCAAGCCGGGGCCGCAGCTTTGGGCGCGGTCTACCGCATCCCCGCGGGCAGCCCCGGGCTATCACATGACACCGGGAGGACGCGCGGCTCCGGCTTGGGTCAGCGCACGCTGCCCCGACTCGGCTACCTCACGTTACCGGGGCCCTGGCTTTGGGCGCGGTCTACCGCACCACCTAACAGGCGTGTTCGAAACCGCAGGAGCTGATGATGAACGGGTTTATCGAAACTTGATTGGATGAGCATATCGGTAATAGCGATTTCAGTGTGTGCATTTATTGTTCATAGTGGTGTGAAATGTGGTTGGGGTACGACCGACAACCCGTCGGGGCGAATTTCGCACTGGGGTACTCAAAATTTGAAGAATTTAAGACGTTTCCATGAGTTTTGAAGGTATGGATAAGTTCTAAAAATCCGGTTCTCCTTATCTGGGCCATTAACTCCATACGGTCCAGGAAAGCTGGCACACTACCTTTAAGCAGCCATCGCTTAATTACAGCGCATCCTAATCGTCCAATTTTCGACAAAATAACGCACATTCTGCACTTTGTGGCAAAAATGGCGCTTTGAGACAAACGTGGCGCACTGCAACAAACGTGCCGCATTCGTTCATGTCGCTTAACAATTCATCAACCCACCAAATTCTAGTCCAATCGGACTTAAACTGACAAAGTTATGTACATTTGAATATTTCACTATAAAATATATCCGCAACGGAGGTGCCCAAATTTGCACGTGTGCCACGTGATCGCCGGTGGTGTAAGCAGGACTTGTCTCCTCACTGATTGCACCATTTCAGTATTCCTGGCTTGTGCTGTTTTCGGTCTCTAGCGGTGTACCAAATTTGAACTAAATCGGCCCGGCCGGTCACGAGATCTGGAAGCGTCACCCTGCACGTGCGCACGTGCAGCGGCACCCCTACCATGGCACATGAAAATGGATCGCCTAGTAGATGACTACCTCCATGCCCAGTTTCAGCGCAATCGGCCCAGTAATTACCGAGTTATTGCACATTACAAAACTGACACCTCTCCGTTTTACACGTGTCACGTGCAGTAGTGGTCACCCGCATGCATCATCCATAGTAAATACTTCTAAGAAGAGTATACGCTACCCCACACAAAAAACCGCAAGTGTATCGGTCCCCTGGTTGCGGAGATATAAGTCGTACAAAAACGTCCCCACGGAGGCCGGCCGCTAATATTTAGCATTAAATCGCATCCTTCAATGGGAGGTATCCCCGTCACCTGTTCGTATACTGTCTGAGCAGGACCATATATAGGTCTGAGCTCAAATCTCGGTAATGTCGTGCTTTTTTACTAAATTTCTCAAAAACGGCACAACGTGCAATAACGCTCTGTATATCATTGGAAAGAGCATCAAAAGTTGTATAACCTATCAACTTTTCACTTAAATATATCTCAACTGTAAAAAGTTATTAAGCAGCAAAGACGCTCCCATTGACTTTCCATGTTAAAATTTTTCATTTTTAAAGAAGCCTAAAGACAACAAACGAATTTGCACAGCTTAAAGAAGCATAACAACATGTTCTATGGTCTTTTCTCAACAAGTCCTGAAAGTTAAAGCAAAATCGTATCATATAATTTTGTACAATGAGCGAATGAAAAAGTCTCTGCAAAAACGCCCATTGACTTAACATGGGGAGCGAAAAAAGTTCAACTTTGACCTCGTGCAAAGACACGTTACGAAGTTCTGAGGGGTATACGGCGCACACTAGCGTGTACCCAAACGTGTTTGCCATAAAATGCTGGGAAAAAAACCACCTCCTTCTTGGCTCGTTTTCCCGCCATTGGCGATCGCGCAAAAAGTGTCCAAAACCCCGTTGACTTAACATGGGGAAAATGAAATCGCACGTGCCACGTGCCACGAGGTTTTAAGCGAGTAGCGACCGGTGCCATCAGGTAGATCGCCTCCGGGAGCCCATACCCTGAAATTTTTACGAAGATTGACCGATTCGTCTAGGCCCCACCCAAGTTGCCCCAATCTCAGGCCAACTTTGCAAACATAGCCCGGAGACGGACCGCTCCGGTTGTTTTTCAATAGAAAAACACAATTCTAACGAATAGTGTTTGTCTTTTCAAACAACCTGCGGTTACCAGCATCTGCGATGCTGGGCTCCGCATCGCGGGACCGCAGGTTGTTTGAGCAAGCACCTTTGTAAACGCAGCAAAAACGCCCGCCGCCAAACGAGAGGATGAGCCTTGCACGTGCAGACCGGAGTCGGTGTGTTACAAACTGACGTGCACGGCACCCTACTCGCTGATCTATAGCGGTGTGCCAAATTTGAGTGTAATCGGCTCGGCCATTTTCGAGATCTGGAAGCGTCACCCTGCACGTGCGCACGTGCAAGCTGTGTCCAATTGCATTGTGCATGGGACCCTATTCGCCGGTCCCTAGCGGTGTACCAAATTCGAGCTCAATCGGCCCAGCCGTTTTCAAGATCTTGAAACGACCCCTCCACGTGCGCACGTGCAGTTGCATCTCAACCGTGACACATGGAAATACATACTAACTGACTTGTGCACGGCACCCTACTGATCGATCTCTAGATGTTTGCCGAATTTGAGTGCAATCGGTCCAGCCGTTCTTGAAATCTGGAAGCGTCACCCTGCACGTGCGCACGTGCAAGATGGGTCCAAACTGACTTGCGCACGGCACCCTACTAATCGGTCTCTAGCGGTGTACCAAATTTGAACTCAATCGGCCCGGCCGTTCTCGAGATCTGGAAGCGTCACCCTGCACGTGCGCACGTGCAGTTGCACCCCAATCGTGGCACATGGAAATACATACTAAATGACTGCAACCTACTGATCGGTATCAAGCGTTATGCCAAATTTGAACACAATCGGTCCAGCCGTTCTCGAGATCTGGAAGCGTCACCCTGCACGTGCGCACGTGCAGTTGCACCCCTACCAAGACACATGGAAATGCATCGCCTGGAAAGTGTCTACCTCCATGCCAAGTTTTAGCGCAATCGGCCCAGTAATTACCGCGAGCTATTGCGCTTATTACAAAACAGGCACCTCTTGGCTTTGCACGTGGAACGTGCGTTAGGGGTCACCCATATGCATCGAGAGTAGCACACTATGTGAAAGAAGGGAAAAAGCTACCCCACACAAAAAAAACCGCACGTGTATCAGCCCAGTGGTTGCCGAGATATAAGTCGTACAAAAACGTCCCCACGGCGGCCGGCCGCTATTTAGCAGTAAAATCGTGTCGCATCCTTCTATTAGAGGTATCCCCGTCACCTGTTCGTATACTGTCTGAGCAAAGGCCATACGTTACGGTCCAAACTCCATAGTGAGGCGGACATACGAATTTACGAGAGTTTAGCGACGAAATGATTCACTTAATTGTTAAGTAATGGGTACCATTAGGTAGACCATAAATTTTATCTAGCATCTCACCGTAGATGCAGTAAAAAGTGCTTTACTTTTCAATGTATGTAAAGACTTGCTCAGCTCAATCAGTTCACTCTGTATTGGCTCAAGCCGTATCATGCGAACGCAATACAAACTAGAGCACCGACAGCGCAGCGCTCCCCAACTCACTGCTCGCCCAGTCCACCCGGGCCGCCGCCACGACGGCCCCCCCCCCCCGCA